CAGTACCGCCACCTTCTGCTCTGGAGTGTAAACGCTTCCTCTATGAGAAAAAGGAGCAGCGCATGAACCGAACACAACACACGCGAACCGAACCGCAAATCGACCGGTCGAAACGAATGGTTCGGACGGTTTTCATAAACCGTTCCATTCCTAATATATATATAAAATCCAGTTGTACAGTTGTAGTACTCAAATACGTCGTTCTTTTATGATCTTCATTGTAGTTTAAAACCTATTATTAGTGTATTTTTTACCAACCGTCCAATGAACTATACACAGTTATAAACATAGTAATTAAAAGTACCACTGTCTGCTTTGCTTTGTGTCGTGTTTAAACGGCTCACCATCATGTTGAAATCTGCCATGTGTTGCGGTATAAATATGGTCAGGTCAGTCACTTCAGGATCAGGCGGGTTCGCACCATTACATCTGCAAAGATATGTCCTAGTCTGCAATTGCGTAGGGGGCCCACCAGGTGTCAGTGATGGGGCCCCTAAGAAACTGCCATCTCTGCTTACCGATATTTATGCCATTGGCTGAAGACCAACCCTAGCTAAACCAAAGCACGGTTAAGGAAATGACAGAGCAGCCATGTATTTCCAGGAAAGGATTCCAGTTCATGTCGACGTCTTTTAGAGCTAAGATATGAACATCATTTCTGAAAGCTGTTTTTAAAACAAAAATCTAACAAATCTCACATTGAATATGATCTACAAAGCATTTTCTGTCTTTTAGTTCATCTAGAGCAGTTTTATCGTGTGTGGTGGTAGATTATCCTTTCTTATCTCTATGTTGCTGGTCTAAATCGCACTAAAAGTGCTCCAAGTAATAAAAATCTAGAGATTTTTACAGTATACCGTGTGCCTCTAGGGATCCCCAGCTGTGATGTCAGTGTAGTTAAACCTCCTCTGACAGCATCAGTTGGATTCAATATACTAAAGTATCGGCGGCTTGTTTTCTCTGTTGTATCGCTTCAAGTCCCTGATGGCAATAAAGCTCATTCAAAGCATTTTTTCTGCGTTTCTTTAATGAAATGTTTTATTTCATAAAACGACAACTACCAAGCCGTTGAGGCACCCTGACTCGACCGCCACCCACCCAACGAATCCCTCTGCGGATGGTGGGTCCGCAGGAGGGCGGGCCCGCGTCATCCATTCGGGCTGAACCCGGCCAGTTACCAGGTGCTCACATCCGAGCCCCAACCTCAGGCCTGACGTCACGGCCCTTGATCTGATGCTATCTATAGTGGTCTTGTGACACATCTAGGACACGCTGGATGGACTATGTTTCTGAGCTGGCCTGGTGTCGCCTCGGGTCCCTCCAGAGCAGCTGGAGGAAGTGTGTGGATCAGGAAGTCTGGGCATCTCTGCTCGGCCCCGGATAAGCAGAAGAAAATATGTATAAAACAGCAAACCCTAGCTAGCTGCACAGTTTAGTATAGCTGCAGCTCCAGATGGATTTTCATAACCTCAAGTCTCCGGCCTCCAGAAGAACAAGAACCGCGATGGATAACAGTCAGTTACCGCAGGCGGAGACCCACAGCTCCAACCCCACTGCCACATCTGAAGGGCAATGCTCCCACCCAGGCAGCAGAAAGGACCTGGTGCTTTGACCGCTCCCTGTGATCGGGTTACCGAGGGTCCCTGTCCAGGCACTGCAGCAAAGCACAACCTGCTATGCAGAACCGCCGGCGCCACACACACCGCTCCGACACTGACCGCCAACCGCAATATCTTCACCTCTTCAAACTAAAAGTTAGACTCTGGTTTAAACAAATTAAAACACAGCAGCACCTGGAAAATGCTCTGAAAGTTAATGAATTTCTACCGTCTCTGCGTACGATTAAAGAACATTTAGCAGCGGTGATTAGACCAGTGAGCTTTTATTAAACCACCAAGACTCTGATTGCTTCGTATTCGTCCTCGTTAAAAAATAAAAACTCCATCACAAAGGTGAATAAATATCGACTCGCTATCACTACTTCCTGATGTCACGGCGTCCCACAGTGGGTCACGTGATTAAATAAGGAGTTTATCATCTGCTGTCTTAGCTAGGGATGCACGATATTGGGATTTTGGCCGATACCGATGTTAAAGCTGGACAAAAATAAGTAGTCATTGAAAATAGCAGTTTTGTTATC